ACAGCTACTCACATGCTTTGTTGGATCCCATAGTGTTGGTGAGAGGCTGGCCAGTTGCATCAGCTTGACATTTGGTTGCATCAGCATGACATTTGGTCAGTTTTTCTTGGTATCACATTGGTGACAGGAGGTCTGTGAAGCTGGTGCATTGGCAGTGATGGGTCTCACTCACCTCTGTGTCCAGGGAGCCTGCCAGAAACGTCTGCTCTGTGCTATGAAAACCACATACATTTTCCTTGCTGAAGAGTTAGAAGGTAAATAACTCCACAACACTTCTGCATTGTTATGTTTATTTTATTTATATTTGCATTCCATTGCTTCATCCATTATGATTGGTTTGAAAAGTAAACTTTTCTTTTAATGACTACAACAGTTAATGTTGGTCTCTCTTCCCATACAGTTGAACAATTATTTAATAACAAACAACTAAAAAAGTCCAAGACAAATGTGACAGCATTAAAAAAAATTAACACACCAAACAGAGCTGATGCATGGAGGAAGAAAAGGAATCAACCACTTATTTCTCAGAAAGATGCATTCCCCTAAAAAATTACCAAAATTAAAAAAAATGTATTTTATGGGAAAGAGCAGGGAGTGTACTCGTGCATATGCTGATGCTTCCACATCCATATCCCCAAACACACAAAGATATGTATATATACACGCACATGCACAAACACAGACACACATGTATTAGACTGGACAAGTAACTTTTTTCTCTGTGAGAAAATTATTATAACTTTTAATTATATTAATTATATCTGTCTTTAAAACAGGAAAACTTATTAAAACCCAGAACAGAAACTACTTTAAAAGCTCTAACATATTTGGCTAAACCTTGGAAATCACTGCCTATTTAGCATAGAACACACAAAAAAATCAACTTTGATAACTATTTAAATGTACACCATCACCAGGTTCTTAGTGCTGATTTGGCTTGCTTTGCCTTTGGAATATGCTCCATAATTATTAAAAATGTCTTTTATTAAAAATTTCTTCCAACAGGTAGGAAGAAATATCTGACCACTATACTGGATGCCCCAGTGTTATCCCCTTTCTAAAGCCCATAGAGCAAGCATGCTTTATTATAGCAATCATATTTCTATTTTACATGTAGTGACTACTGTTTTGCTGCTCTTGCAGGAACCTCCTGTTCTCGCTTTTATTCTTCTGAAGAGATGGTAAACAGCCAGCCAGAAAGCCAGAGAGACTTGATGGTCTCTCTTCAGGGGGCATAGGTGAGAAGTAGCCCTTTTAGAGGCAGGGAAGCAGGTGAGAAAGCTACTTTTTGTAACAACAGTGTCCGTGGGGAAGCAAAAGGAACACTGAAAGGCTGAAGGCTGGCTCTGAGACCTCCCATCCAGAAAATGAGAAACCTCAAGAACATGCAGAGAAGGTAAAAAGCAACAGGAAGGAGTAGCTTTTTGTGAGACATCTCCAAAATACGTAATTTATTTAACCCAAAGGTGCTTAAAGTCCTTTTAATGTGTTAATAGAGACTTGACAAGAGTGGCTTCCCAACTACAAAGAGTATCATTCTCTGTATTCTCTCCACAGACAAGGAATTTGTGGTCCCTGAGGACAGTGTTCACCCATTAAGTTTCTGCACATCTTGAGCTGTTGTCTGTAGGTCCCTGTAGAGTTACACCTTGTCTGTTTTCCTCTCTTTCCCTGCCTTGTTCTTAATGAATCCATTCATCAGGAGAGTCAACTTGCCTGATGTAAGTTTTGCTGCTTTAGAGCCTGAGTTCTTGGAGAAAACTAGTAAGTTTCATAAGTCTCCAGCTTCTCTCAAATCTGATAGAAATCAATTTCGCTGTTGTGGATTTAGTAAAAAAACCCCACCTTTCAAAAGACTCTGGTACTCCATTGTTCATAAAACCTAAGGAAGTTATGTTCAGATTTGTTTCATATTACAGTTGTCACTAATCTATGTTAACACAAACCAGAAGTTCATTACAAAATCTCTTATTACAGAAAGTTCTCAAGTCTTTAACAACTGAAGTAAAGTTTGGTTTCATAGGATCCTTTCACAACCTTTCATTACTTCAGAGTATTGCTGAGTTTCTATCAGTTGAAATGATTCCTCTATAAAGGCACTATGAAGTGCCTTGAAGCTTAACACAACAGCATCTTTAAAGGTAAGTATCAAGGAAAAGAATATGTAAGAAAAACAACCTGATTGAAGAACTAGAAAAGTTCTAACTAAAAAAACCACAACAAAACAAAAAATCCAAACAATAACCTCTTTTTTCTCTCTCCTTCCCCACCATTCCCAGTCCCAGAAAATGTGGAATGCTGGCATTATTAGAAACATATGTAATAATACGATCAGGTAGAAAAAGCATTAACAAGCGAAACACGATTCTGTCTGTTTGTGGCCCTGAGCAAATTACTGATGAAGCTGGAACACTTGATCAGAAGATTCAAGAGGAAGCTGCTTCTCTCTCCCTATGGGAAGGGGTAAAATGGTACTTTTACCTAGTGATGCCACATTCCAGACATTGGTATTTGCTTGTCAGCTGCCACAGAGTGGAACAGGAGAGATGGCCTGTGGCATGTGATGGCCTGGTGGTGGCTCACTAGCTGTGCTGCAGAAGCACAGTTGGGAGATACTCAGCAGAAAGCCACACCGTGTCAGGTGGAGGAAGGAAACTCCATGCTCTTCCTAGCAGAATAAGCAACCAAAACAAGTACACTTTTCTCTCCTTTGCAGCTGGTTCATCTCCTGTGTAAAAATGGGCTTTTACCATTACAGGGATTTTGGCCAGGTCAAACACAAATCCTCTAGGGTTCAACTTTCCATTTCACTCTTTTGCTTCATACAGTGTGCCCTACCAGAAAATGAAACATAGGGGTTTGTGGGGAAAAAAAAAATTTAAAAAAAGGAAAACACTTCCAACTGATAAGTTTTGCATTCAAAAAATGTATACATTCACAAAAAGGTAACTGAATTTTTTCTCAGGTAATTTTTTCTCAGCCTAATCTTCAGACTCAACTGCAGTGAATAGTCTCAAAACAGCATATGGTAAGTAATGTAATAAAATGAAGACTAAATTATGCATAAAAATTATGCATAAAAACATGTTTTTCAATTTGTGTAGTGACTTTGATCTTTATGCGCTAAATTCCACACCTTTGCATCTTTATGTTAATCTTTCAAATACAGTGTTGCCCAGACTGAGAGCACCACATGGCAGCTGTCCATGGTGGCAGTGAAATTCAAGTACACTGCATCAGCTACAGCTCCATCTCAAGGAGTGCCATAGCCCAGGCACTTTGAGGAGTTCAAGACACCCTTTATAAGCAATTGAAGTTGTAATTCCTGGCAGTTGCCAGCTACATGAACCACCCCAAAGAAGTTATATTTTTCATCTTCTTTAAAATGAGGCAAGCTCAAGAATACCTGTGGTAATAAATTCCAGAAGCTAGTTATATCCTGCAGAAGTGCCAGCAGAACAGAAATCATCTGTTTGTGCATTCCAATCCCCAGAGAATTAACCTGATTGCAAAGACTGCCAAAGGAGGTAAGAACACTTAGGTCCATCCCCTTGAAAGCAAAGGATAATGCTGCTTATGTAGTTCTAGAGATGCAGAAAAGCTCCCATCATAGGTATACCAAATGTTCACAGACAAAAGCACTTTTTCCCAGCAAGAATTTTACAAGCCCTGATTTAAACAAGCAGGTAAATAAATCATCATGTGCTACAACATTGAGCTAGAAAATATTTGCTGTTCTTCTTTAGTGTCTGCTACCGCTTTATTTCAAATGTTCCAATCACTGGATACTCCATGAGATTTTCTTCTGTTTCTGTCTCAGAAGATGTAAACATACCTAAACTTATTCGAGGAGAAGGCAGCAACACGGTTCAGCACTCACTCAGGAAAAAGTAACTTTTCACAATAACACAAGTGTGCAAAATTCATTACAAGGCACAGAATACATAGATGTGTTCCACTTGATTCCCATTTATTCAGAAGTATTTCTCTTGTGATATTCTGTATCACTTTCATTTTTTAATTTTTTTTTTTTAGAAGAAAGCCTCCTCAGGGCATATTTGGCATAGAAGATTTGATTTGCTGCAATGGATCCTTCTAGACTATCCATACACGTGTTCATTTTCCAGAATTAAGTTCTGGAAAAATGTATTGTGTTAGCCCAGTGTATAAAGCAAGTCACATTACTGGGCACTGTTTAGCTGCAACAGGGACCTTCAATTAGTCCCTCCTGCTCTAACCTTTTTTACTACTCATCTTTACTGTATCTTCTTGCAAGTTACCCCAATTAAATTTATTTTTCTCTGAAAAGATGAAATTTTAGGGTGATTGAGAAGGATCCTTTTCCTAAAGGGATAAAAGGGTATGAAATTACATGACAGATTGGTGTACTTCATTGGGTACTTCAGGAAAATGATGATTGTAGCTGTTTTTTTTAAATGTAATACAGAGATACTGAGAACATTTGCTGTCAGTCACAGCATGAATTCAAGGAAAATACCTCAGCACTACAGAGCTATATCTGGATCCCTGTTCATGTATTTGAAATCAGAAACCCTTCCATTGTCATTAAATTATGAGTCACAATGAAGCATACTCTGTCTGTTCAGCTGAAGGACATGGCTGTCTTCCCGGAAACACAAGGCTTGCTAGCATTTGGGAATGGCGGCCAAGATTTGGGTGGCCTGGAGCAGGGTAGGGGGCATTAAAGGCAAAGTCTTCTTTCATTCCAGAACCTCTTAATAGTCTGTTGCAGTTAGGAAAGAAAGCACATACCAAGAAACAAAATAAAAAGAAAACAAAATTGCAGATTTCATTTCGAAACAACTAGTCTGGAGGTCAGCCCAAGGACCTGAATTTCAGTAAAGCTTTAGCAGCAGGGGCACTGTCTACTATTGTCTGTGGCTGAAGAGGTTCTTATCCCTGATAAAGGAGCTAGAACTGATATAATTCTTCTTTTTCTCAATAATCCATGTTGCTCAGTTGAGGTTCCTAGCAGCATATTTAGGGTTAACAACATTGACACTGGAGAGAAGCATTTGTGACAGTAACTGTGGCTCCCAACTTTCCTGCTTTCAGGGATTAACAAGCAGGCTCAGTCCATGAGGGCTGTCATATTCTTAAACTCTGCAGTAAGAAGGAAATTAGACTTTGCTTTTGTTCAGTGAGTAGTTTTTAGTGACACATCCTGGTTGTCATCTCTTTCTGTAAAACAAGAAGAGAAAATAAAAAAACAAATGGCATTTATGATAAAGTGTGCACAGGCCTCCTCACTGTTAGTATTTCTGCAACTCTGCAAATTCATGTGGTTTTATATGGCACCATGTTTCTGCCCCTTTCTGTCACTTTCAAGGACAATGAACATACCTGCATGTAAAATACAGCATTTTGTCATTTTGACAGCTTTAATAATGTAATAAATCCCTACCCATGTCAGGTAAATGGTGCTGCATCCCCCTGCCCTAAGAAATAAATCAACTGCAAATGCCAGAAACCTTTTAATTTAATGTAAGGAAAAGCATTCAAATCATTGTCATTGAACCTGCAGCCAACACGAGTCCTAGATATATCTTCTCTGCCTAGCTGTTTTACCCTCAGGCACAAAGGGAACACAAACCTTGAGGACTTGACCAGAGCTGTGGCATTCATCTCTAGGATAGGGTTTTGGACCATTCACAGACTCCGTTAGGAACTGGGGTTTGGGATCCACATAGGATTTTATTTGATCTGATTTACAAACACTCTCATACAAACTCTCTAGTAACTGGCTGCCCCATTCTATAAAACTTCATATTTGTCAGCAGATTTCTGGAAAGGCATTATCTAACTAACAGCCAAACACATACACCAGACCACACAGCATTTACCTTGGAAAATCAATTGAGATTTACCAAGTTATCAGAAGTCTCTGAAAAATCTCTTAGCTTGCTTGAATAATTTTTTTAATAATTTTTAAGGTCATTAAGATCTAATGCAAATAGCTTCATGACAATTTTGTAACTGTATCTTCCTCTGTGTTTAACAAATTACTTTTCCACCTAGAATCCTACACATAATTATGGGACTTTCTCCTCCTTTTCCAAACCTTTAACTAGTTTTTCTTTCTTGTATATTTATCTTGCATTACTTGTTATTTTGTTGCCATGCATGTAGCAGAATGGGATGTTGTCATTTGTTATAAAGACAATGGTAATTAGTACGGGAGTTTATACAGTAATATGTATAATATATATCACAGTGATCTCCACAGTGATATATACAGTAAACTGAACTAGTACTGGCTTCTCCTCCAATTTGTTAAAGATGACAAAGCTGACTGTTCATGGAAAAATCTGTCTCCTTTTCTTCTTAAATGTTTTTGTGGATTTTTTTGGGAGTTGCTTTGTTTTGTTGTTTTGTTTTTTTTTTTCCTTAAATAGCTGGGATTAGGTTTATTTCATTAGAGCAACAAACACAAATGCAGAACTAAATAAAATTCAGCAGAGTGTTGGACAGCTTCCTACTGAAGATTAATTAGGTGTTCAAGCATTTCAAGGCAGTTTTTATCTTTCCTGGCCCCTAATTTTACACATATTCAGTGTCTGCATGTTTGTAGTGTACTTCCTATAATCAAGGCTGATAGATCTGTGAGGTAAAACACTGCAACTTCCTTCTGCAACTTCTGCTGAACAGTGATTTTCAGTCAGACTGTATCATCTTGCCCTGTTATAAAAACAGTCCAGGGAGTAATGTGGACCATATCAGAGCCATTGTAAACTGGGCCACTCTCCTTCAGACACAGTGGGAGGCAAACTGCAATAGCATCAGAGGTAGGAGTCTAGATATGGATAAATGTGTCCAGGAAAAGGGCAGAGTAGGAACTTAGATGATCTATGCATAAGATGTAAACAAGAGGCCTTTATGACAGCTATGAAGCATGAACCTATCATGCTATTTCTAACTTCTCTCTAGAGGCAGAATTTATTTTTCATAGTAATACAAATTCTCCCCAAGGCTCTCTCTCCCTTAATTTCTAAGGGTTTTTTTGGTTATACTATTAAATCCACAGTCTTCTCCCGAGATCCTATTTCTCCACCCTGTCAGGAGAACATTGCTGCAAATGGCAGCAATGTAACTGTAACTTCCTTCCTGCAAGGCCTTCTGTCCCAATGGCGGCTAGGCTACAGTATTGGAAATTTTCCCAAAACTGTAAAGTCAGAAAAACATTTAACCTTAATAAACATTGACACCAATGATGCATAGAAACATTCTCTGTATTGATCTATATTGTTACTGGTAAATGAAGGACACACACACAGGTACAGTCACAGTGCATGCCTGCATATATGTGTGTGAGCTTTTACTGATATCACCCAATGACAGTGAATTAGATGTGCTTTAAAAAAAGATAAAGCCCATGATTCCTCTGATAGTGAACTGGTGCAAGCTTTGTGGGAGTGACCCACTTCTACTTGTTATTTTCTTAGAGGAATTCACAAAACAACCAGGAAATAGTTTCTCAAGAGACTGGTATAATTTGGATGCTGGCAAAGAAAAAGTTAGCTTCACTCAAAATGCTGGTGAGAAGGTGAGGAAGGGTCATATCCCTAGCATCCAGTCTTGGCTGGGTGGCAGCATGAGGCGTGCTGTGTGCTGCAGAGCCTGCTGCTGAGCCTGTTACTGAACAAGCTGCTCCTACTTGCCAGACTCTGCCCCCTCAGAGATACTTACCTCTCAACTCTTCTCAGAGCCTGCTGGCATATCTCTTGCTGATTCTGATGGGAACCAGAGAACTTAGCACACATTCCCCCCTCCACTCAACTATGCAGAACAGTCCCCCTCAAACCTCACGAAAGATCTGATCCTTAGTTACTCTGCTGCTGCACAGCCTTAGGTGGAGCACTGTCTAACAAAAAGCTAACAAAAGTTTTTCACTCTCTCCTGAGTCTCCTTGGGTTTGTGCTTCTGTGAAACATCACTGTTCATTTTAAATTGGGAAAGGTGGAGAAGAATGCTCTTGACTAACAGTTACTGATTAAAAGCACAAAAGAGTATTTCCCAAACACAGCAGATGACAAAAAGCTATCAACTGACTCTTCTGAAAAGGCAGGAAGACTGAAAATGCACTTTGCCTTAAGGTACTGTGATGCCCAATCCCAGCTGGATCTTGAATGAAATATAAAGGCTAGACAAACAAGGGAATCAGAAAGTCAAACACAGAGACACAGATAGGCACACAGGAGCACTGAAAATTTTTCAAATTTTTTTTTTTTTGCTTGTTAACAGAAACTCTCCATACCAAAACTTTTGATACCAGATGCACTTCCTTTTGAAAATTAATTACAAGACACTCCAGAGCATTATTCTGCATTCAGACTTACTCCTGCTCTCAATTCTGGATTACACAGTTAACTCAAAAAAATGAAGGCAGAAGTAGATGCTGTTTTTCAAATCCAAAATGCAAATCAGAAGCCTGGACCCATTCTATGTGTTGGATATGCCCAAGACTAGTAACTAGAATTTAACATGGAACTCACTTCTAAGGAACATAAAGAGAAACATTTGCTATTCTTTATGATGTCCTTCAAGTATTTACTTACTTGCTGAAATTAATGCTAACAAGCCACTCTGTAAGCATCAAGAATCTATCTGATTTGTTAAGATTTGTGAATTCATGGAAGAACACATTCCTGAACATTTTTCAGGGAATACCAACTTGATTTCACAGATGAAGGGAAAAAATAAGAATTTATAAAGGTAATCAATATTTATATCTAAATGTCTGGCCCTCTCCCTTCCATAATGCTCCAACATAAATTTCAGATACATTCAGCACATAAATCTATACCTGACTATTTCAATTTTTACTCCTCAGTTCACCTTTAAATGCAGCAGGAGAAGAATGGAAAAAATGCAACAGAGCCAGAAGTAGCTGAGAAAATCTCTTTTTAATATGACAAATTTACCTGTGCTAAGATATTGATTGCATCTGAATAGATTACAAGAAGAATGAATTTCCCATAAAGAATGATGTTCATCAAAGAAAATTGTGTTTCTATGCTTATGCAAGTATAATATATAGCTGCCAAAACACAAGGCAAAAACCCTTCAAACAAACATCACCTTTGAACCAGTATATAATAGAAGTCAGAGGCCCCTCCTGTGCAAAAGCTGATGAGAAAGTAGATGAAGTGAAAAAACTGTGTAAGTAATAGTATTCTATAAAATAATAATAGGAAAAATAGGAAAAATAATAAATGCAATAATGACCTTTACTAAAACCAGTGTTACTTTAAAGACTCAAATCCTCCTTCAGTGCCTGGGTCTCATCCTAACTTCCAGTTCTCCAAATTGAAGCAAAGCATGTCTTGATATTCCCTCTCCTCAGCTCCTCCTGCTGCTACTTAGCAAGCCTAAGGATGATGTGGAAACATCTCCTTTTAACCCTTTGACAACTGTTTTAAGCATAGTGAGGTTTTTAAATGTATATACAAGGGTATTCACAGACAAGTGGACAGAGAGAAAGCATTACCTGCTGACGGGCAGGGAGAGAGACCTTGCCTGGAGGCACCCCTCAGCCTGGAAGACCTGACCAAGAGGCAAGGAGAAGGACATGCCAGCAGCGGGCACCGTGCCAAATACACTTGCCAAGCTTACTGACTCCACAGGGAGCCACTCATGGCTGCAACCAAATACTGCAACCAAAAAAACCCAACCCAAAACAAACAAAAAAAAACCCCACAAACAAAAAACATTGCCCAGCATTAACCGCAGTCTCACAGGTAAGGAACTTACAGTCTATTCAACCATCTTGTGAGGCAGTGCTGGGCAGAAAGGCAATATACAAACAGGCCTCCCAGTTTATGGACTCATAACAGTCCATTCCAACCTGACCTGAGGCTCTGCTGGGCAAACACAAGCATCCCTGGGACACACATTTCTCCTCCCTATGCTCATGGACAGAAAAGCAAGCCTCAGGGAATGGTATATGCACACAGAGAGGCACCAGTACAGCCAGTTCAGAGTCTTTCTGTAGTTCACATCACAACTGTAAAATAAGCAGATGAAAAAGAGAAAGATCAGTTCATCAAAGCACAAATGGCTATGATATCTGCTGCTTTTTATTGCTGCTTTCTTCACAAACCTCTCAATAGTTAACAAATAACTAACATGTGGACAAAGTTCTTTGTGTCCTGATGACAAAACAAGCCGTTTACAATGGAATA